CCCTCAGCCCCAAAGATGATAGGAAGGGCATTTCACCTCTATGACATTCTTTACAGGGAAGTAAAAACAAAACCATAACTCTAGTCTAATAAGAAAACATCAGACCTGATGTGAGAGACATTCTATAAAATACCTATTATTCTCAAAACTGTCAAGGTCATGGAAAAACAAAAGACAGAAATCGCCACAAACCAGAGGAGACCAAACGAAACATGATGACTAAATGTAATGTGGTATCCTGGACTGGATCCTGAAACAGAAAAAGGACATTATAGAAAAGATGGCAAAATCCAAAGACAGTTTGGAGTTAACGGTAAGGAATCAAGATTGGCTTCTCAGTTCTGACAAACATATCAGACTAATTTTGAATATTACAGATAGGGAACACTGGGTGAGGAGGACACAGGAATCCTCCATCCTAATACCATTCTGTACTTGGTAAATTTTTCTTTTAATTCTATAGTTATTCCAAAATAGGTTTACTGAAAACCAAGCTACCAACAAAAAAAAAGTCAATGGCAAAGATAACCAATGTAATAGGAGTGGAATCTCGGACTGGAGAGATCCAGAAAAACAGTAAAGCTGGGGAGCAATGTCTTGGTAACTGCGGACAGGATGGACTGATAGGCACAGTACATCGGCAGGGACTCTGCCTGTTTGATTACCTGCACTGAAATATTCATCTTCTGAGAGGGCTGTCACTTCAGTGTCCAAGGGTATGGGGTCACACAGGAGAATGTCTTTGCCCAACACATCACATTCATACCCATCATCAAAGAGCAGCTTATACTTCCCAGCTCCAACATCTCGTGTGATTTTCCCAGAGTAAAAGTAGCCATTGGATGACCACTTGGCCACAACACGGAGCCCCACAAAGCTGTTTCCTGGAGATGAGGCATCCAAGCCATCAGAAGAACCAGTAGCAGCCTGAAAAGGAATCTCTGGAGAATCACTCCGCCGCAAAGCATTAGAACCAGCATCCATTCGTTTGGTAGAGTCTGGCACACGGGGCACAATTCGAGTGAAGGACTTGTCATCTGGTGACATACTAGGTGAAATGTCTTCTATGCCCAACGGACCAGACACAACTGCTTCTCTACAGACAGATAAGAGAAGGAAGTGAGGTAAGAAAGGACCTATCTACCAAACCCACTCTTACCTATAGGTCTCTTAACCCATTCTTTATTCATCCCATCACAGACATGAGCCCAATCACAGTGACCTCACTCAGTATGGGCCCTTCTTCTCCCTCTGGTACCCCACGTACTCTCTAGTCTCCTCTTCTCTCTACTCCCCCTTATTTTCAACACTACCCAGGTACCTGGTTCCAGTGGTCCGAGAAGGTGGGCGGCCCCTTCGACCACGCCCACGAGGCGTGACTGGAGCCTTCCCTCCCTGTCTGATGCCAAGGCCTGCATCACCATCTTCCTCACACACTGGTGCCCCTGTCTGACTGATCCCTTTTCTAGGACTAGAGAATGAACACAGGTTAGTTTGACAGCAGCTGCTAGTGAATGCATCCTTTAACACCCCACAGGACCTTCCAACTAGATGCCAGGCAACGTGTGCTACTTCTCCAGGGCAAAAGGGAGCTGGCTCACACCCATCAGCACCGGTCAACAAATCTCAGCCAGGGAGCAAGGGGAAATGGGACAAAAGGGCCTCTTCCTGCATCCAAGTCTACTCCCTCCTGACTCCATAGCTTCCTGCTCGCTGCTATTCAAGATGCCACGCCCATCTGCCCTGCCTTCTCGACTTCACGCTCTGGATACCCAGAGAGCAGACCCAAAGCCAAGGAGATAACAGCATCCTGGGGCCCCTTCCAAACCCCCCAATGCCCAACCAAAATATGGATAAGCTGCAGAATATAGGAATGGCAGGAACATGTATCCAGCATTCCCAGCGTCCCCTACGGGGCTTCTTTGCCCACCAGGTTCCTCCCCTAGAAGCCCCAAACAGGGAGGAAGAGGATTTATCCTGGCTTGAGGTGGGCCATTCCCCATTACTTCTTCTCCTATGATATTAAAATGTTAGTAACCCTGCCCCTGCAGGGTCTCTCTGGAGACCATGTATGCACCTCAGTTTTCCTGGCCCTCCTCGGGAACTGGGTAAGGCAAAATCCGCAGCTTCTGTTCCGCTGGTTTTCCCTTTGAGTGGCCCGGCTCCTCGCCCTGAGCTGCCACTGCTGTGCATGGCTGAGAGACTTGTCCCACTTGATGTGTGATGTGAGCTGGATGCTTTGGAGGAGAAGGAGCTGATGTCCCCCAGGTCTCCAGAGGAGCCTCCAGTCTGGGAAGGAGAAACCTCTGTTTCACATTCCTGACACTCTACGATTGGTTCCTCCGTCTCCTGCAGGGAAGAAACAGACAGGAAAGCTAGAAGAAACCGTCCTAACAGAACGCTAAGTGGGAAATCCTAAAGACCGCAGGACACTTCACCTCAGCCAGGTGGGAATCAGGAGGGAACTTTCTGAAGCAGTGGAAATATTTTGTTTTGAGCCATGGTTACATAAAAATTTTCAAAGCATAGCCAGGTATGATGGCATACACCTTTAATCCTAGTACTTGGAAGCAGAGGCAGGTGGACTCTGAGTTTGAAACCAGCTGGTCTATGTATCAAATTTCAGGCCAGCCAGAGATAACACAGTGAGATCCTGTCTCAAAATTAAGTAAGTAAGCAAGTAAATAAGTAAGTTAATTGATTAATTAATAAAAAAAACTTGTCCAAAGCTAGTGAACCTAACATTTAACATCTGTTACATGTAGCAAAAAATTAAGAGACCTTTATATGACGTATGAAGGGAAGTTGTCTTTTTATTGAGCAAGCATACAAGTTTTGAATGCTAGCGAGGAGTTTAACCTAGAAGACAGAAGCCATTTCCCTGTCAGAGAGAGAGCTGAGGAGAATGGTGAAAGGGAGTGGTCAGAAGTCATTCTAGAGACATCATCAACACTACTTCTGTGGTGCTGGGATTAAAGGTGATGCCTTTAATCCCAGCACTCGGGAGGCAGAGGCAGGTGGATCTCTGTGAGTTCAAGGCTAACCTGGTCTACAGAGTGAGTTCCAGGACA